AATTTGAAAAACCACCCCCCCCCCAGAAAATAAACTATCAGTTGACTTGCTTAAAAGCATCCCCTTTCAATTCGTGGCCCACTTGCTTAAAAGCATTCCCCTTTCAACTGGTTGCTCAACCACAGAACCCAAAGCAAATTTGAAAACCATCCCCAGCCCTGATAATGCAAATTCTTTACTAAGCCGTGTTCAAAAAATGCAAAAAACAATCAGAACAAGGGTGCCCTCACAGACCCCACTGAACCACAATAATGTCATTGTTTTACGGGACCACATTAGTTGCAAGCCCGCAGCCCCCTCCCAGAAAATAAACCATCAGTTGCTTTACTCAAAAGCATTCCCCTTTCAATTGGTGGCCCACTTGCTTGAAAGCATTTCCCTTTCAACTGGTTGCAATACTGAAGTAGTATTCCAAAAAAGTAGGAAGAAGTAGTTGCAGTACTACAGTAGTATTCCACAAAGTCTGCTCAGGAAGAAGCGGTTGTAATACTAAAGTAGTATTCCAAGAAGTCTGCTCAGGAAGAAGTGGTTGCAATACTAAAGCCGTACTCCAAAAAGTCTGCTCAGGAAGAAGTGGTTGCAATACTAAAGTAGTACTCCCAAAAGTCTGCTCAGGAAGAAGTGGTTGCAATACTAAAGTAGAATTGCGAAAAGGAAGTGGCTGCAATACTAAAGTAGAACTGGGCCCCAAAATCGTCCATTGTTTGGACGTCCCAAAAGTGCGCCCCCATTCTTTTGGCGCCTCCATTGTTCGGGGGAACCCTTTATTAATCAAGTGCCAACATTAATGACGATGACGACGGTCAAGATGATGCCAAAGATGCGGGAAGATGATCGTGCTGGGCGACATCCGCAGCCTACACAAGAAAATGACGATGACAACGATGATCACTAAGACGCTGATCACGCTGATGACGATGTGTGTCTTCATCTTTTGGACAAGCGTATGACTACTATGTGACGATGATGGTGATGATGAATGCGACCGCCATGAAGATGATGATGCTAATGGGGTTGCTGACCCCCAGCGTTGCAAGCTGGGCCGAAGATGCCATCCGAAACCTTTACAACGAATGGACTGCGGCGATGATGATGATAATAACGATGGCTTAATGATGATAATGATGATGAGGGTCACGCCGATGATAATGACGCTGGCATTGATCACCATGATGATGCTGGTGATGATAGCGTTGAGGGCGTGCCCCCAGCATCGCCAGCGGGATGACCATGATTAGTGCGCCCCCCGAATATTGCAAGCATGGCCCGACGCGACGCCCGAAAGACAAGAAAATGTTCGTCACACGAATGGTGATGACTGCACTGATGATGAGCAAGGATGACGACCGTGATGAGGATGATGATGATCACCATGTTGTGATCACTGTGTTGTGAAGAAGATGATGCTCCTAAACTCTGCCACGCGAGCGCGAGAAACGCAGCCCTGCATGAAAAGCTCGCTCTGGCGCGCTGGTGGAGCAAAGGATGCGTGCTCTGGCGCGATGCTGGAGCCGATGGTGCTGAAGACGCCAACGCTGACCACGTTTCTTGAAGACGCCGCGCGAGGGGAAGCTCGAAGCATCCTTGCCGAGACGCCCCGTCTTGCGTCGCAGTGGAGGCATTGGACTGGGCCAGCCCATCGCTGGGCGGAGGCGGCGAAAGTGCTGTGGCGAATGGATTGGAGAGCTCCACGGGAAATGAACATGCAGCTGGTCACGTGCGGCCCACACAGAGAAAACACGCACATTACGTTTCATTACATCACACAGCTCACGCGTCGATGCTGGGCACGCTGATGGGGGGCTCTTTCAAAAAGACCTTGCAGTGGCTGTCGGCAGAAAAAGCGCGTGGTTGTGACGAGGCTGGTCCAAGCCGCCTTGCGTGGCAGCTGGCCCAGCGCCCGCTCTGCGGGTCACAAAGAAGCAGCCTGATAGCACAAGCCACTGAAGCCTTCAAGCAAACAGCTGAAGCAAGACCTTTTCCGACAATTATGCTCCGGTTTCGCCAGCGCTCCATCTGCAAGGCACTCGTTGAAAGAAGCTCCCATCAGCGTCGCCCCGCGTCACCCCGCGTCACCTGCATTCCCAGGGCCAGCTTGAAACAAGCCCGAAAACGCACCGGCCATCATCATTTTCGTCTTTGCGGGGACCCTCCTCAAACACGGGTTGGCAGCGTCGGGCAGCAGCCCCGTGGAGCTAGGAGCCTTGCTCCTCCAGACCCGTCCGACAGCCGCGCGGCCATGCAAAACCGGCTGCCGCAGCAGCGCGCGGCCGAGCTCCATATCTGCTCCTTAAGTGGAGAGCGGCAAGACGCTGCTCGCCGCAAGCGGCTCTACGCGCGAGCGCGCAGAGATCCGAGGACGCGGGGATGCAGCCTTCAGCAAGCTTCTCCTTGGGTATTGCTAGCGCAGGCTGCGTTTTTGCACCGCGCAGGGCGAGCCTGGCCAAGCCGCCACGCAAAGCAGATTGGATCGGCCTCGCCAATACCGTGCCTTTCTCCAGCGTCCAGCATCAAAAGCCCTGCTTCTTTCCTGTGCTTCAACAATGGCAAGAAGCTTTGTGGAAGGCAGCTCCCACCAGCATCAGCAGCGTCACCTGCCTCGGGCAAGACCGCAGACCCACGCGCGCTAGCCGCCAAAACCAGCGGGGCCCCATCATCATTGTCTTCATCAAAGTGGGCGGCAGCCCCATAGAGCTTCGCTCTGAAATACAAGGTGGGGGGCATCTGCCACCGCCGTTCGACCAGTTGGCCGCGGCCGGCTTTACAAGGGGCAGCAGCGCTACGCCAAGCTTCATATCTGCTGTCGCAACGACAACACGACAACGACAACGACAACGACAACAACAACAACAACGACAACAACAACAACAACAACAACAACAACAGCAACAACATCAACAACAACAACAACAACAACAACAACAACAACAACAACAACAACAACAACAACAACAACAACAACAACAACAACAACAGCAACAACAACAACAACAGCAACAACCACAACCACGACGACCACGACGACAACGACAACGACAGTGACTGGAATAGCAACAAAAACAGAGCACCGACAAGAACAAGAAGAAGAACAAAAACAAGAAGAATAACAAGAACACCAACCAACCAACCAACCAACCAACCAAGCAACCAAACCAACTAACCAGCCTTCCAACCAACCAACCCACCCGCCAACCACCAAAAACAACCACCACCACAACAACAACGACAACACCGCAACAACCGCAACCGCAAGACACAAACAAACACACAAAACAAGCGAAACGAACGAACAAACAAACAAAGAAAAAACATACACACACACCAAAACAAGCGAAACGAACAACTAAACGAACGAACGAACTAACAAACAAACAAAAAGCAAACAAACAAACAAACGAACGAACAAACACCAAAAACAACAAAGAAAACACATACACACACACACCAAACAAACAAAACGAACAAACTAAAAAAAACAACAACAAACAAACCCTCACAAACAAACAAACAAACAAACAAACAAACAAACAAACAAACAAACAAACAAACAAACAAACAGCAACAGCAACAACAAGAGCCGCAAGACGCTGCCTGACGCTGCAAGACGCTGCTCCTCTGCGGGGCGATCGCGCGGGCGTTTCTTGTCTTGCCTACGCTTGATTCCTGGCAGAGCCTACGCTGGCCAAACTGAAGCCGCTTGCGCGGAAATGCGTCTAGCGGATCAGTTTCTTTCAGTTTGCCTGCAAAGGCACTGCGTGCTTGTCTCTGAACACTTAGGAGAAAGAGCTAGCAGGCGTGAAATTCGGCGTCGAGGTGCTGCCGCGGCCGGTTGTGCGTCAGCAACGCGAAAATCAGTAATAAGGTGTTACTACTCAGCCGTGTTTGGGCGCAAACACGCACGCACGCACGCGCGCGTGTGTGCCGCGCAAGCGCGCGCAGCACGCGTGTTGAAGCGTGCGTGTGCGCAAGTATTAGTATATGTGTGTAGGTATGTAGGTACGCAGTTTGGTGTGTGTGTGTGTGCATTTACGTGTGCATATATGCATGTGTGTATGTGTGTGCGTATGTATGTCTGTCTGTCTGTCTGTCTGTCTGTATGTACGTATGTATGCATGTGTGTATGTATGTGTGTATGTATGTATGTATGTATGTTTGTGTGTATACATGTGTATGTAGGCAGTGTGTATTTCTGCGTGTAAATGTGTGCGCACGTCTGTGTGTAAGTGTGTATCGTGTGTGCGCGTGTCTACGCGTGCGGTACGTGTCCTTTTTGTCAGGGATCATGTTGCTTAGGCACACAAGGAGAACTCTTTCCTGACCTCAAACAGTTTGAGCTTGAACTGGCTGAGTGAAGTGTTGATTGATGCGGGGAATAGAGCTCCAACAGTTCCCCTCTGAATTACCAATATGGAATGCATAGCAATGAGCACACCAATTCACCAGCATCTTGGCTGTATCCATGTTCACAATCACTGAATCATTGTCAAATCTCATCTCTGCTTTCTCACTGTCCCTATTAATCGATTCTGCTTCAATCAGTCTCCCTAAACTCTGCAACTCCTCCCATTCTTGCTTCAGAGCTCGTCTCTCATTAAGCACTCGATATGCTCTCCACTGACCTTCTTCTGGGAATTCCGCAGATGAGGCAGTTGCGGAGCTGGAGCCAAACTACGGCATTCCAAAACAAAGCCCTGCAAGCCAAAACAACCTTGCAACAAGCACAGTAATTAAAGAGGAGGAGAAGAAAGAGTAGCAGCAATCGTAGGCAGTGGCAGGAGTATGTTGGAAACCTATTTCGAGTGGTCTTGCGGCACAAGACAAAGGGAGTGTGACAAAGCAAGTGGCTGCCGGCTGCCACACAGATAGGTGTGTAACGTGCTGAGTAGCAAACTGTTGCAAAGCCATGGCACAAATCACCTTGTTCATGCGTTTGTGTATCGCGCGCGCAGAAACCGCTGAGCTGTGGCCCGCATCGTCGACGGGTGTGCTGCGCAGGCGGCGCGCCGCGAAGGAACCCAGGCTGCTCAGCAAGGTCAGAGCCGCCTCCGCGGCGCTGCCTCGGCAAGCGGCCCAACGGGCACCAAAGGGGTCTAAGCCGCGCCTCTCAAAACGCATAGCTACCGCACGCAGCCAGAGAGGATATAAGGAGGATATCTGGCCCCTTGCGCCCGTGGGGGCCGTTGGTGTGAACACAACTTCGCCGCTGTAAATGATGCTCGTTGCGACGAGACAGTCGAGCGCCCCATCAACAGCGTGCCTGCCACCGCCCGCGTTTGCAAGTCATACGCTACTTCAGAACATTTCGGGGGAAATCCGTGGCACGGTGGCGCTTTGCTCTCGCCTGCTTGGCCTTGCTTGACCCAGTCGGCCTGCTGCTCGGCCTGCTCAACCCTAGTCAGCCTGCTCAGCCTTGCTCGGCCTGCTCGACCCTGGTCCAAGCAACCAGTTTGCGGGTTCTGCGCAAAGGCAAAGCACCTGTTGCGACTTGAGCCTGCGTGTGCCAAGAACCCAGGCATGCTGTAAGGGGTCAATTCGGCGCACAAGCAGTAAGGACGAATACCGAAATCAAAGGGACCCAAAGCACTCAACCCTGGATATCCCGAAAGCAAGTGTGACCAAGGTGATGCAAGAATGTTGCGACGTACACAGGTGTGATGTTGCTTGTGTACACTGCGTCGTGCCACGTATCAAGGCACTACTCTACTGGACAACTGAAATTCTTAAACCTACAATTGCGCACGCCAAACAAACATCTAAGCAAACCATTTCTAGCACGCAGCAAACGCGTTGCAGCATTGCCTGATCCATGTGCAACGCTAAGCGGCGAACATAAAACTGCGCAATCAAGCCCACGCATTCAACGCTCAGCTGCGCGCGTGCCGCAGTACAATCGCTTTGCCATCGCTTGACGAATGCAACATGCTGAATATATCTATGTTTCTGTCTGTCTTTCTCTCTCTTGCTCTCTCTCTCTCTCTCGCCTTCTGTTTCTCTTTATGATTGTTTGTGTCTTTCTCGTTCTTTTTTTTCCTTCCTCTATAACAGTCTTCTTCTCTTTCTTTTTCCCCTTCTCTTTCTTTTATCTTTATCCTTCTCTTTCTCTTTATTTTTCTCTTTCTCTTCTCGGTATCTTTACTTCTCTGTCTCTGTTTCTCTCTCTCTCTCTCTGTTCCTCTCTAGCTCTCTTTGCCTCTCTCTCTCTCTCTCTCTCTTTCGCTTTCTCTTTCTCTTTCCCTTTCTCTCCTTCCCTTTCTCTGTATTTTTCTCTGTTTTTTTTTTTCTCTCTCTCTCTCTCTCACTTTCTTGTTCTCTTTCTCTTTCGCTTTCCCGTTATCCTTCTCGTTCCCTTTCTTTTTCTCCCTCTCGCTCTCTCTCTTTTTGTTCTTTCTCCTTCTCTTTCTCTTTCTCCTTCCCTTCTCCTTCCCTTTCTCGCGATTCGACATGCGCAATCTTCGCAGAGGGTTCGTCGGCGACGTAGAAAGTTTGCGGCGCCACAGCGAGAGCAATCGACAAGCACAAGTCTCCGCAGAGGATTCGTTGGAGAAGTCGAAAACTCGCGCGGCGCCACAGCGAGAGCGATTCGACACGCGCTATCTCCGCAGAGGGTTCGCGGGCCACGTGGAAAATTCGCGCGGCGCCACAGCGAGAGCGAATCGACACGCGCAATCTCCGCAGAGGGATCGTCGGCGAGCTTTGAGATTTGCGCGGCGCCAGAGCGAGAGCGCTCCGACACGCACGATTTTTGCAGAGGGTTCATCCCAGCGCCCGCCAGACCCACCCCCGGCTGAGAAAGAATATAGAATTAAAGGCTGCGAGCTTCGGCTGCGAGAGCTAGGCTGCGAAGTGAGGCTTAAGACAGGCTGCGTAAGTCAGGCTGCGTAACTCTAGGCTGCGCAAGTCAGGCTGTGCAAGTCAGGCTGCGTAAGTCAGGCGACGTGAGGCAGGCTGCGTAAGTCAGTTTGCATAAGTCACGCTGTGTAGGCTAGGCTGCGTAAGTCACGCTGCGTAAGCTAGGCTGGGTAAGTCAGGCTGTGTAAGTCAGGCTGCGTAAGTCAGTTTGAGTAAGTCACGCTGTGTAAGCTAGGCTGCGTAAGTCAGCCCGTCAGAGTCACGCTGCGTAAGTCAGCTGCGTAGCCGTTTTTCCAACTAACCCTCCTCGATGCTTTCGGGAAAAAACACGTAGCCGCATCAAACATGTTGTTTTCCTAGGCGGCCGCCCCAAAAGTCCGCGGCCTCATGACTTGTTTAGAACACTAGGCCCGGAACAGTTTGAGACCTCCATCGGCTGTGACTGGGCTCATTGCTCACTTACTCCTCCTCAAACCGCCTCACAAAAGATCTGTAAACCATTGTAAGCCTGAACGGTCAGAGTTTAGAGGGGCCCGTCAGAGCGCCCTGCACAACGATGGCCTTGGGCCCTGGCCCTGGGCCATGCGCTGCAACACTGTGGTGCAAAGCACCACATCTGTTTCCACGCGGTGCCTGCGAACTGCGCTGCGCGCATAACGCTCGACGCGGGATTTCCAAAACAGCTGCACCGCAATGCTGCGCAAAATCTGTCCAGCGGCGGGCAAGCTGAAAGTCGGAATGAGGGAAAAGGGTCGGTGGCTATGTGGCCAGTAGCCAGGATGATCATGAATAATCCCCCCCCTATTAATGAATGACCCCCATTAATAATAAATGCAAATCCGGGGGCCCGAGACCAGATTTCCACTCCGCACAATTGATTTTCCATTGCGCCAATACTAAGCCAATACTAAAGTCTTGGAATCTTTATTAGGGGGCCCTTTTAGTAAGCTTCCAGCCTCACTTTTCAAAAGGTGGGTTCCTCAATTCCCCAAAAGGTTGCTTCCCCAAAAGCTGGCTTCCCCAAAAGGTTGGGTTCTTTTGGTGGGTTCCCCAAAACATTGTGCGTGACTCTCTCCCCACAAGGGTGTCCCTGGTTGTCCCTGACTCCCTGACTTCAATGCAAACAAGTTTCAATGCTTTGGGCGATGAAGGGGGTAAAAGAACGCAGAGCTCTGTCCTGGGCTTGCCCCAAAAAACTACGAAACATCCTTTCTGCCTGGCTGTCCCTCTGTTTGTAGGGGTTATGGGGACCCAAACCACACTTACTCCGCCCGCTGCCTTGCCTGCCTGGCTAGCTGCACCCAGCTGCGCCCTGCTGCGCCTAGCTGTGCCCTGCTGGCTGACTGCTGGCTGCCTTCCTATCACTGAATGCATGTCTGGCTGTCTTGAAACCCACACTGCCTTCTCGAGCACTGGACTGTCTAGCAGTCAATCACAAACAACCAGTAAACTGAAAAACAAATAGAATGATACATCAAATTTCCTTATTAAACCGCTTACTCGCGGACCTTACAATTCAGTCCATTTCCTCCAAATCCTGTGTGAACCCTCACATGGTTGGAAAAGCAAAAAACCCAATTCTGAAAACCACAATTTTAAAAAAAAACAAGAAACATGTGAGGATTTATTTATAATAGGGGGGGCGTATTTATTAATAGGGGGAAGAGATTACTTGTTTGTCAGGATGACGGATGTTAATGATGATGATGATTATCACCAGGCATGCTCCAGCAGAGCTGGAGGGCGGAAGTTTCCAGCCAACTGCGGCGGGCGGCCTGAATTAGCGTGTTGGAATGGCACTATGCACTGGAAACTTGCATTCTTTCTATCTATTTCACTTCTCTATCTATGTATCTATCTATTGGGAAAGCGCTGCGCCTGTCACGAAATCTGCGCTCGCGCTTGCGAAAGTGTGCGCCTGCCATGAACTCTGTACTTGAGCTTTCGAAAGTGCTGCGCCTGCCACGAAACCCTATCTGCGCTTGACCATGAGAAGCGCTACGCCTGTCGCGAAGTCTGTACCCGACCTTGCAAAAGTGCTGCCCCTGCCTCAGGGTGCGAAAATCAGGCACCTCCCACACAATCCAATCCGTGTGCAGCAATTCGCGCGTCCACTCCAATACGGCTCACGAACCGCGCAACTCACCTTGACAAAGTGCGGCGCCTGTCAAGAATTCTGATGCGCGTGAAAACAAAACGCTGCGCCTGCCACGAAATCTGCGCCTCAGGTTGCCAAAGCACCGACAATTCAACCTGGCGAAAACCTTGCGCAGGCGTGCCATCCGGACAACCATTTATGACCACTTTTCACGGGGCCATTCTTCAGGACCGTGACAATCGCTTTTCACGGCCATTGCCTTTTTTCACGGCCACTGCTTGCACTTCACGTTTTTTTCACGGTTCTCGCCCGTTGTTCACTTCTATTCACACATTTGTCACGGCCTTTCGCGGGTTTTTCACAGCCGTTTCACGCTTTTCACTGCCATTCATGGCGCTGCTGCGGTTTCCAAATGGTTCCCCAGGATTGAACAACTTTCCGAGACCGTGGCGAACCCGTGGCGAACTTGTGGCAAACCCGCACCGCACCCGTGCCGAACCCGTGCGCAAAACAAAGCTCCCCTTCGCGTGTTTCGCATGTGGGTAACTCTGCTGATTTTTGTCATTCTTTCTGTCGCACTCTTTATAACTGCTGCTGTTGCCGACGATGCTGGTGCATGTGGGTGTGCGCGTGTGCCTGTCTGCTTGTCGATGGAAATCTAACAAAAGGCTTTCGAAAGAACGGGGCCTGCCGTGGTTTCAAGCTGCTCCATTGCATTGTCAGGCAACGCCTGAAAATTGAAATAGCCGTGCAGAAGGAGAGGCGAAGTAGACATCGCGTAGTGTTGTTTTGCGGACAGGCAAGGTCGAACAACAAATTTCCAAAGTGTCCGTGTCCCACTGGCTACCCCTTCCATTTGGTGTCAACTTTGATGCTAGTGGTCGACACAGCGTCACTCAGGGTCCTTCCACACTTCCGGCGAGGGGCGAAACGAAGTCCTGCAGGAGGTGCAGAGCGGCTCTCCATGACACTTTGGCCAGCGCGCTGCTCAGCTTGGCCTCAAATTGCAAAGCCCACTGCGAAACTGTTGGAATCGCCCGGGCCGTTGAGTTTTGTGGTTTGGCGACTTGGATATGCGCGGTGCGCAAAAACAGGAATCTGTCTGCGTGCGGCTTCATGCAGCTTCCTGCAAAAGAACCAACTGATAGTCTTGGCCAAGCAACCAAGAAACGGCCAGCGTGCCAAAGTAAGGTGTGCTTGGTGCTGGCTTTGAACATGACTAACTCAACATGTTTGCAGAAGCGTTTTCCATAACATAGACCTGCTGCGCACCGCCCGGCAAGAATTTCTGCGCCCATGCAAGGCGAAACATTGTCAGGCAGCTGCCCAAGAACAAACCAGGTTTTGAGGGTGAGCATGCTGAAAAAACGGAAACAGATCATCCTTTTGCGACACCTAGACTTGGGAGCTCATGAGCCTCAGCCCTGACGACAAGCCATAATCCGCCGAAACGCATTGGTGCTTGGTGAAGTTTGGTGGGTACTTCTGTGGTGGTGTCATGGTGGGCGCACCCCGCTCTGCGCGATTCATACTAAACTTTGGCCGACATCATGCGCCTAGACCCTTGACAGGCTCCACGTAATTTGCCAGCTTTTCCGATTGTGTGTTTCAAGGAGTTGCTCAAGAACATGGAGCCTCGGTGGAAGATCCCGAGCTATGGGTACGGTTGCCTGTGTGCCTTTGGCATGTAAACTCATGAGAGGAGAGTAGTTGTTTGGGTGTGTCGCCTACACAATGCATCCCCGGACGTGTAAACTCATGATTTTCTCTAGAGACTGAACCACTGCGTGGCAAGAAACAGTTCTAAGTGGGGTTTTCGCTTGATCCGCTCAAGGCCTCTGAAGGCGAGAGTCATGCACTTTGTAGTTTGTTTCTTGGCCTCTGAAACTGTTCAATGCTTGAGGGGCTTTTCACCTGGTCCACCCGTCGCGAGCTCGTCCTGACTGGATCACCATGCGGTGCGTGTTGAGGAGCTCGTTGAAGGGCGCCATGTGAGCTGCCATGGGGGCATCCATCTGAGTCTCGATGTGAGGCGGCGAGTGCGGCTCTATCGTCTTCGCCTTGAAATTGCTGCTCTGGATTAGTCGTGGGGTCGAACACGCTCGTGGCGCCTGCCAAAGTGACTGTGTCTGGATCTCGGCGCCGAAAATCTTCCGACTCTATCACAGTGGGAGGCCGACGCAGGTCTCCGGCTTCTCGTTCAAACTCCTTGGGCGAGAGGTCCTCCGTGGTCAGCGAAAAATGGATTACAGCGTGGCGCTGCCAGCCGGTCTTGCTTCTCAAGGACACCAGACTGATTGGGGCTTGAGCGCTGGTGCGCCGATGCCTTGCAACCATCCGTGCTGCGGTTTGGTCTTCCCTGTAAGATCGAAAGACGGGTCTGCCATCAATACGTCTTCATCGTCCAACCTGATTGCGTGCGCGCAGCTCCAAAAAGCTTTCATCTGCTTCCTGCGCTCATCGTCTCCGGCCTCCAGGATGTCGCCTGCGCGTTGCCTGTGCTATGTTGCAGCCCAGCGTCAGCAAGCACCTGTCGCAGACCGAGACCCTGTAGCCCGCGCTTTTCAATCCGGAAACTAATCCACACACCTCCAACAAGGAGGAGGCACTCTCTCATCGTCGTAGCCCGGGACCTTCGTTCGATGGCACTTTGCATGGCTCGTGTTTGGAGAAATCGGTTTTCGCATTGACACTGCGCTCCATTTTTGTGAAGCTGCTATCTGTAGGAACAAGTACATCGAGGGGGTAAACGGTGCGGGGCTTGTTCGTTCGATGTCGATCTTTCCATCCCACCATGCACCATCTCGACCCTGGACAACCATTTAACCACTTTTTGCGGGGTCGTTCTGCCCAGGACCAAGAAAATCGCTTTTCACGGCCATTGCTTTTGTTCACGGCCTCTGCTTGCGCTTCACGTTTTTGTTCACGGTTCCGGCCCGTTCTTCACGGCCAGTACCGATCATTTGCTCATGAATGCGCAGAGCAATGTGTATGCTTCTGCCCGTGACTCAGTTTGGACCTTTCCGCGGATATGACCTCGGGAAACCGTGGCGTTGGGAGAGGTCGTGTGGGCCTACGCGCGCCCCACCAACGCCCATGCTGCCAGCGCTCCAGGACGACATTCGCAACTTCCCGGCACAAGCACAGTCTGCGAAGCACTTTCGGACGCTCTGCTTGACATGCAGCACAAGTGTTTCCACGAAGCGCGCTTCGGCAGCTCCAGCCCAAGGTAAGTTCCTGTGTTGGACTTCGCGCCTGCCCAGCGCAAGCACAATGCTCGAAGTGCACAAGTGTAACGCCGCCTTGACAGCTCCAGCTCGACAACTGCAGCTTATCAGCACAAGCATAGTGCGCGAAGCAGCCGCTCAGCAGCTCAGCCCTTGCGCTGAAGCACGCACGGATTTGGGGGAGCTTGCGTTTTTTGTAAGATCCCTTTTTGCTGCGCGCAAGCTTTGTTGATTGCAGCTGGCACGCGTCGCAACGTCTAGCGCTAGCACGAGCACAGCGCGCGAGCAACATGAGCTCCAGCCCAGGAATTTCAACTCTTCGGTAATTGAGACGCGAACTACCCAGCTGCGCATCAGCACGGACAAAAGGGAGCTCCTTTTGCTTGGCTCAAAAGAACATGGTGCCAGTGGAAAAACACAGTAGGAGTGCGTCTTGCAGGCTTCAAAAAGCAAAGCGTCAGCCCTCTTGCAAATCTTCCAGTCGTGGACAAGCCGCTGGATGGATCAGAGTTTCAAGCTGCGTCTTCAATCACCAAACCAGCTCTGGCCCACCTTGACGCGTTCCGCGTGGCCCAGCAGGTGCCAGCAAGAGCGCTCCAATCGCATTCTAAGCACCGGGCTAAGCCTTGAAACCCCTTTCCAGAAACCACGCGACCAAAAACAAGCCTGACAACCTTCAAAACGAAAGCTCTTATGCGCCTGCGTGAAGACAGCGCTTTGGCTGTCTTGGGCCACGCTGTCAGCAGCGGCTCGGGGCTCAATGATCCAGCTTCGGAAACCCGTGTGGATTTTCAATCCCGCAAAAAATGCCCAAGAGTACTTGGTAAAAATGCAAGCGTGCTCCTAAAATGGCCAAGGATTGCGGAATGCCGCGAAACACTCTGCTGCACACTGGCCGGTTCCCTGCTTTGGCTGCGAATCCATCCGGGACGCGTACGTCAAGCATGCCCGCGCGCTGGTCCGATAAGGGAAACACCAAGAGGCCCCGCGCCGCCCGATCAAAAATCGCGCCACACCAGGCCGAACGCAACTGCACACCGCACACCCCGGAGCCCAGTCGTAACTGTTTTAAAGGAAGTGTTTAAAAAACAGTTTTTGCCAACAAAAAATGGCAATCAAAGGCTGGCCACATGGGACCATGAGCGCTGAGGCGGGAAAACCAGGAAAAGCAGCGCGCTTTTGCAGCGCCGCAATCTGGCAAGCCCGGCACGTCAATCCGGTCAGGTTGCTTGCCTGACCACCACTAGACATGGAAGTCATCTATTTTGAGGCACATGGAATCCAACCGATTGAAGCTGGATGAGTGGAATTGTCTGAAAGCTGCTGCAAGACCACGCATGACCCCAGACACATGAGCTGCTTGCTAGCTAAAGGACTAAGCAGCCTTCGATCAACCAGCCAAAGCATGCGTTGCGTCCTCTTGTCATTTGCATCTCCTTAGCGTCTCCTGTTTGTTGCCCGGCTTTGCAACCCGATCAAGTTGTTCATGCGCTGTTGGCTGGGAGGGCCGGGAGCATCTTTGCAAAACAGCGCCTGCTATGCGGTGTGAAATAGTGTTAGTTAAAGGTCACTTGTTGACGACATTTGTTGGGTAAGTGTGGGTTGCCCTGATGGGTGCGCGTGTGCACGCAGCTTGGGAGTGGCCCCGCCGGCGGGTGCGTGCAGCCTCTCCTTCCTTACAAAAACAGTCGCCCCCTCTGCGACACACTTTCTTTTGTTGCACGCTCAGAATTGGCAGGTCTGTGGCTTGGCTTTTGCACCGCCCAACCTTAACTCACACGACGCATTGGCAACTCGCTCCCTCCCTCAAAAAAGCACAGAGTCTGGCAACGTCCAAAACTGCGTTTCCTTTCTGGCGCGCTGCCGCTGCCGGCTAACATCTATTGCAATTCACTGGCTGCGCTCTGCTGTCAAAGTGACGGGAACTGGCCGCGCAGACCCCAGGAAAAATGTGGCTGCGTAATTGCGCATTACGTACCTCCTGCCCTGCTACACAATGTTGAGGATAGGGTGCCGGCGCGTTTGCGTGTGCGCTGCGCGCGTGGGTGCGCCTGGGTGGCGCGTGCGCGTGCGCGCGGGTGTGCGTGTGCGTGGAGGGGCCGGCGTGGGCGTGTATGTGTGTGTGGGCATGTGTGTTTGCGTTTCTGTGTCTGTTTGCTTGTCTGTTTTTGTGCGACGCGTGCGTGCACCTGTGCGTTTGCGTGTCTTTGCAGCGTCAGCTGACGCGGCCCGTTCGGTTTCTCGAAGCAACTCCTGGATTGCCGCCTAAGCAATGTAGAGCCTCTCGGGGGAGCTCGGCCTGCCCTCAGGCGTAAAGCCTTCCGAGGCGCTACGGCCGCCTTCAAAGATCCACGCTTAGCTCGCGCAACACCAAACATCATACACCCAAGGGCGAAGTGTCTGGCGCGTTCTTGAAGCACGGGTAGCGTGTAATCCGTGCCAGGGCCCCTTCCCCGATGGCGCGCTGCAAATCAAGATGCAATATGAGGAGATCACAAAGCAACGCGCTGGCACACCAGTTTTGGTCTGTCGGTTTGCGTTGAAACGTGTTGAACAAGACCGCAGACCCCGCAAGTTCGTCGCGCTGGTCGCCGCATCGTCTGCTCAACTAACACTCGTTTAGCACACGTCGCAGCACGTTTGCTCCGTTGGCCACGCCTCGAGGAAAGCTTTACCACCTTCCAGATCGGAGGCTACACGAATCAACACTGGCCCTACTTGCGTGGGCAGATATGAAAGCGATGAGTTTGACACACTCAGCAGACTGCGCGTTCATCAATGCGCTTTGAGATCTGTTTGGTCTCAATTATCAAGGTTGGAGGCCATTGCGCAGTGAAACCATTCGTCGAATCGTCGTGTTTGGCTGTGTCATGAACCCCTGTGTAAGGCCGTGAGTATCCGCTACTTGGCCAGGAACTTCCGTCGCTTGCCCGCGGAAACCCGTGAAAACACGTGACAACACGGCAGCACGGCTGTGTTGAGACGCGTTGTCAAACAAGAGCCGTGAAGCGAGACTATGTTGCGGAGACGCCTGGCGCGGTCATGCTGCGACGCAAGGCTATGCTGATACGCCGCGCAGCAAGTCTAGTGCAGCGGTCTGTTTGAGACAAGGTCCCTACGCGCAGATTGGTTGAATGGTTGGCCTGTCCCTGCAAGACAAGACGTGCCAAAATTCTTGCACCTACGTAATTTTGCCTTGGAACAACTTTGTCGTGTCCACGCAACAAGCCTTCCTTGCAAGCTTCAAAGCTCGCGGTTGCTGCGGCAGGAGGAGCCTTGTTAGAGCAAGCTGCCTGCAGCAGCGCGCAAGCAGCAAGTTACCTGCAAGCAGCTACTTGCTTGCAGCAGGTTGCCAACAACGAGCTTCGATCTGTACGTTGCTTGCAGCAGGCTGCAACTTCTTCTGGCGTCAAGCTTCCTGCAGCAAACTGCGCGCAACATCGCTTGAGGCTGGCTGCTTGCAACAAACCGCTTGCAAGCGGCTTGTTCCTCGGGATGGGGTCAAGGGCCGCGGCTTGGTTGCGGCGGCTGCATGCAAAGCATTTCCGGGTGGCTAACTGCCTACTCTGAAAGCTCCCAGACTGGGTAGGTCCTACACGAGTGCAAAAGCCAAAGGCGGCACATCCCTGCCGTCACGCACGCCCGGCGGGAAGCTTGCGAAAACTGCTGGGCCTTGGCCACACACCGAGAAACTGCGCGCAACGCACAGAGACTAAACAAGGCACGGGCAGTTTGCTGTCGGAAAACAAATAGCTCGCCGCATGGCCGCGCTCTCGGCAAAGCGCCGAAAGGAGCGCCGGCGCTGCCAAGAAGCCGCTCGCCTTTGACACTCGCCCGCGCACTAAGCCATGGCAACTGCCAGGGGACCACGCACCTCAGGTTCTGCCGTTGACAGGAGGCCACACAGCTATCTTGGAACAAAGGGTGATTGCAACTAGGCTCAGAACCCTTAATTAAAGATCAGACTCAAACCTGCCCGCTGCATTTGTTGAACCCGGTTCTCAAAACTACCAGCCCAATTTGTTGACACGAGAGGATATATCCAAAACTCCCCGCCCAAGCCCGTGGCTTTCCGCATGTTGCCAAAAAGCCCAACCAGGCGGAGCCGCCGGTCAGAGGCAGGCCACATGATCGGACCCACTAAGACTTCGAAAACGCGACACACACTTCACCAAATGCAGTCACTCGTAAGAAGGGCGTAGAGTTGTGAACAAACGAACTGTGGCATTTCAGATGCACGCAGCCGTAGCCGTAGGAGCGCAGGCTTTGAGCCGGCCTCGCAAAAGCACACTAGGCGTGCGCGGCAAGGGCTGCGGCGGCGCGGACATGGGGGCCAGCAACCGCGTTCTCAGCCACAGAGAAGACGCTGCGGACTTTACTACCCGGCGCCTTCAAGAATTAGAGCCGTGGCGGCGCGCGCTTCCAACGCAACAAGTCGACCACAGAAAAGGTTCCTTGCTGTGATAGTTACTCGGAGGCAGCGCACGCAGCTTTTGTTGGCCAACCATCTTGCCACGCGTGTTCCGGCTTGCGGTGATTTCACAGGCCCATCGTGTCAAAATTAACAGACCTTTCGGCAGAGCCGTGCTGGAGGGCAGAATCTTGCGTGGCGCGCAGCTCCTGGCCACTGAGGCAGCATTGGGCTGCTGCACTTGCCACATTTATAACGAGAGAGTTGCGGGAGGGGGGTTTGAAGGCCCCCGTTGATCGAAATTGCTAGCTGGCCGCCAGACAGAGGTAGTCTTTTCCGACGAGGAGCTGGAGAAAGTCTTTCACAACGCCGCTGCCGCGTGCGAGAGCAGGTTGTTCCTAAAACGCTGCCGCAGATGAGTTAGCTGACGCGTTGGATTCGCACGCTAGCTCTTGCGCAGAACACACAGCTCGTTTGGCAATTTCTCTTGCAAGCGCGCGCTGCCTCGTCGATGGTCTCGTCCACCCTCTTGTCTGCAGGGCCGATCGTTCTGTTGCGCAGGACGTCTTGCGCCCTGCCACGCAGCTGCAACAGCTCCTGGAGGCTGGGTGTTTCTGTCCTTTTTTGCTCCGGCTGGCTGGCATGTGGTCATGGAGTCGTCCCACGCGCTGCGGTTCCATTGCGCGCCCGTGCTGCCCCTGCTCGCCTTGCCTTTTTCGCCGTCGTTCCTTCATGGGCACTGGCTTGGCTAGCGGTTCCGCCCAGATCCCCATGCAAAGTACGAAGCTTGCCACGGCTTCCCCAATAATCCGCAAACCCCTTGTCGGCAAGGGCGAGGCGCACGGGACGGGCGGCTACACACCTCGGAGGATCAAAGCTTGGTTATCATCATCGTCATGATGGCCATCATCGCCCTTCATCAACACAATGGTCGTCATAATTTGTTTCTTTTGCTTTTGTATATACATCTCAAGTGTGCCGTTAGGCAGCATTGGTAATGCAGAGGATGCTACGGTCAACATCATCATCTCTTATGATTCAACATTGGTAGCGCAGAGGATGCTACGATGATAGTTGTCATAACAGTCATCATCCTTATCATCATCATCACCCTGATCATCATCATGGTGGACATCATCATCTCTTTCATGTTTTGTTTTGTATACATTTCAATTGTGGCGTTAGGCACCATTGG